CACACTCCACAGAGTCTATATTTGGCTCTGACAAAATATGGTCTTGTTTCTGGGCTACCATTTGAATCCTTCATTTGCCTTTCAGGGCAGCAAGCAAGAGCCATTAGAGCCCCACAGACTCACTCAGAGGGAACAAACCTTCCAACCTTGAGCACAAGTAGGTCACGGAAGCTTTATTTCCCAAAGGCTTTTGGTAAGCTTCCCTGATACACTTGAAGGCTCTTTGAGGAAAGGGGCCATGCTTTCTTATTATTGTTTATCATTTTGTCTTATTATTTTTACAGCCTTGTTGCTGATTTCCGTACCTAGCATATCGTGTGCAGCCAAATGTTTTCTTTTACTGTGGGTTTCTATAACTTTACTTATATCACACATAATTGAAGAATAGATCAAATGCCCACATACAGTTTAAATTGAATGCCTATGTGCCACCACCCATGAAAAAGAATATTATGGAAGTGAATTTTGCCAGTAACTTTTAAGTACAAGTAATTGACTGTATAATGTTAACTATTTTCTTGTATTTTGCTTAATGTTCTAGCTCTTTCAGGTAATTTTGAATCTGGATTTGAACATGCCCCATAATAAACAATGCTACCAAGTTTATATCATCTGAAACTATGATAAGCCTCACTTCTATATCATCTCTTCATTATTAAGAACATTGACTAAATAAGACCATTGATAAACCTAGAGACCTCCTTACATGGTTGTGATTGCTTTGGGCTGTGGTCATTCAACTGACTGTTCCCTCATACAAGCCTCATTTCAAGGGGGAACTAATGTTTATTTGGTATTTAACATATAAGAAGTTTCTTATAAGTGACAGCTTATCTCATCTTCACAAAAATTCTCCAACATTCACATCATTTCTCCCGTTTTGGAATTGAGGAAACTGAGGCCCAGAAAATTACCGTGTGTAAGATCACCGGCCTAGAATACGGCAGCTGGGAATAGAATCAAGGTGGGACTTTGACTCCAGCACACTCTCTCCTCTGTCTTCACAAGTGTTTCAGGGAAACCTGGAAATGAAGCCTTTTGGAAATGAAGCTTCCCTAATGTACTTGTGCTCAAGGCATGACGTTTTGTTCCATTTGAATAGGTCTACGGGGCTCTAATGGCTCTTGCTTGCTGCCCTGAAAGGCAAATGAAGGATTCAAATGGTAGCCCAGAAACAAGACCATATTTTGTCAGAGCCAAATATAGACTCTGTGGAGTGTGGCCCCTGCCTGCTTTGTATTTTTATGACCTTGGGTATGCTATCTAACTCTCTGCCTCAGTTTACACATCTGTACAATAGGAATCATGATGAAATATTCCTGTAGGGTTTTTAGGAGGATGAAGTGATTTAATCCCTGTAATGAGCTTAGGATAAGGCTTATGGTAAGCACCCAGCCAGCCTTAGCTGTTGTTGTCGCCAGCAACACCATTATTACTGGAAAGTCGGTGTCCTGTGCAGACACTTATCATCAGCCGAGTATAATGAACCCTCTCCTTTTAGGTAAGAGAGGTGCTTCCAGGCCAAAACAGCCATCAGCATGGAAAGAGCTTTCACAAAAATATTTTTTAAATATTTAGGTTTATTGCAAAGGATTAAAGCATACATAAATATAAATGTGTTCATTTTCTTTTTCTCTCTCTCCCTCAAATCAAACTATTGCTCATCTTCTCCAGGATCACAGGGCTTGGGACTGATTGGAAGTGCTTTGGGAAATATATTGCTGTATCTTTGCTTCCTTGCTGTATGAGAAGCATGTGTCATTCCAAATGTGTGAGCACAAACAGGAGTCCCCCAAAGCTTCCTCCCTGGGTAGAGCCAGACAAAGCCTTCACCTGACATTTCTGAGCAGCAGAACCATAATTGTCTAATGAAGTTATGCTGTAGCTGACACAGTAACATGCTTAAATAGTGAGATGGGGGCAGTACATGACCTTTCTGAGCAATTTATATACACAAGTTTAAAAAAAAAGTGTATCATAGGGCTTGAGGCCAACATCTGCCTGGGTTCAAATCCCACCTTGGCCAATTACTAGTTGTGTGACCATGGAGAACTTATTCAGCCTCTCTGAGACTAACCTATCAAATGGGGATTCTGCAAGGGAAGGGGTGTGGGGCATGAAAAGAGGTCATTTAACTTTGGTTGGTGTCCATGTACCTGTCCAAATGCTGAGACTTAAGTGGTTGTCAACATGGTCTGTCTTATTCACCCCAAAGCAGCTCTTATTTGCCCCAAAGCAGTTTAGGGAGTCGTTTCTAGGGTTGGCGTGTGATAAAATTTTCACCAGCAAAGACAAAGTGATAAAAGTGTACTCTCTCTGGCCAGAACACTGTTCATCTCTCTCTCTCTCTCTCTCTCTCTCTCTCTCTCTCTCTCTCACACACACACACACACACACACACACACACACACACACACTCATGCAAACACACACACAACGTACCCTCCCACCCACCTGAACAATTTCTGTGTATGTTTTAACAGCTTAATTCAAACATCACCTCCTCATTAAAAGCCTTCCCTCAGCCCTGGACCAGATTAGATACCTCACTTACATGCCCTCATAGTAGATTTGGTTTTCCTTCATTTACTTATTGCAGTTTGTAATTACACATTTCTGTGATGATTTTATTAATGTCTGTCTCAGCGTGACCAGTTAATTGTCCCAGTTTGCCTAGAACGGAAGGGTTTTTCAAGGCACAGGACTTTCAGTGCTAAACCTAGGCGAATGCTGGCCAAGCCTGAATGGTTGATCACCTGCTCTGCCTCCCTCCCAAGACTGCAGGCTCCAGGAGGGCAGGGACTGTGCCCTTTTGTTTACCATTCATTCCCAGCGCCTTGCACGGACTTGGATCACAATAGGAATTCAGGAATCAGCCTTCGAGCCAATAAGAAAAGGAGTGGTTATGACAGTGTAAGCTGAATTGTCTTTTCTTGCAGAATCCTGTCTTTTTTCCCTGAGATCATTTTTCCTATTTTAAGTCTTAAATGTCCCTTTTTCATAAGTTATTTTTCACAACATTTAAAGTTGACAATGTTGTGTAGTTTCCTTGCCTTTGCTTCCCTGCTTTCCATCGAGGGGTTGGAAATCCTTCTGATTTGAGGGCTCACTAGTGTAGTGCAAAGGGACCTGGAATAGTTGGGGTCAAGACATTTAAAGAAGGTTTGTCCTTGTTCTAAAATGCTGGACTATGTATGTCATGAGGGCACAAATTATGGATATTCAGTTCATTTCTCTGTCCCCGGAGCCTGGCATAGGACCACACAGATAAGAAGGGCTGAATAAATATTTGTAGAATAAATGAATGAATAGATTTTCTGCCTACCCTCAAGGCACGCAGGGGTTGACCTGGTGTGCCTGGCTTCCTCCCCACCCACTAACAACACCTTTCCACAGCCTTGAATGTGACTTCAGCCTTCATCCCTGCTGGATGAATAAGAAGCATGTGCCATTCCAGATGAGTGAACACATGGCCCATCCTTGTCTGTCCTGGATCATCTCTTGACATCTTTTCCTAATACCTAAGAGGACTTCCATGGCCTGCCACAAAAAGAAGTTGCAGCACCTTGAATACTAAGAGCACCTCTCTCACACATACATGGTTTTGTTCCATCTATTTCCTTAACCTGGAATGCCCGCTCCTCTTCACCTGGCTAAGTCCTCTAAGTCTAAGCTTATGTCCCGTTCTCCGAGAAGCCACGCCTCACGTCCTGTTTCCCTCCATGACATGTTAGGTTTGTCTCTACCATCCCATGGACCGCAGCATATTCTATTTGTCTGTTTACTAGTGGAGCTCCCTCTGGGTGGATAGCTTCTCGAAGATAAGAACTCTTGTCTGATTCATCTCTGTGTGCCCAGCACCTAAAATGGAGATGGCATGCTATTATTGGGTTGTCAGAAAAGTCATGACGCATTTTTGCAATGAAAAATGTAGAACAATACGTCATGACTTTTCCGACAACCTAGTAGATGGCTAGTGAGTATTTATAGAAGGAGGGGACTGTATCCATTATGTATTACCACAAAAATGCTAGGCAACAAACAAACACACTATCTTAGTGACATACGATAACACATGTATTTTTGTTCACAAGTCTTATCAGTTGGGTGGGTGATTCTGGTGATCTGGGCTTGTTCGCTACTGGTCGACCAGGAGTATTTGCTGATTTTCTTTGGGCCCTCTCATAAATGCGAAGCATCATCTGCAGCAGCGGGGCTGGCTCAGCTCTGCTGCACGTCTTTCCATCCAGCAGGCTAGCCTGGGCATGGTCTCACGACAAAGGTAGAGAAGGCATCTTGAGGCGTAGGCCTGGAAAACTGGCACAATGTCACTTCCACCTCATTTTATTGGCCAAAACAAGTCACAAGGCTGACCCAGATTCAAGGGCGGGGACTCCACTTCTCAATGGGGGAAGTTGCACTGTCGCTTTGCAAAGGAGGGAGATACCAGCACCATTTTTGCAATCAGTCTACCACAGAGAGGGAGCCAGCAAGGGAATGCCTTACCAGCTTCTTTCCAAAATGATCGCTTTTGCTATCCTGGCATCTAAATGAAATTTTCAGAAAGGTTCCCAAAGATGAAGCCATGCCCTTCCTTTGGAGGGAGTGACTTCCCCACCATAAAAAGGTATTGAATAAAGAAGCTGACAGGCCAGAAGGGATTGGTGGGAAATAATTCAAAGTGATGACAAGCAAGGACCTACAACCAAGACTACTCTACCCAGCAAGGCTATCCTTTAGATTCAAAGGGCAGATAAACAGCTTCCCAGGCAAGAAAAAGCTAAAAGAGTTCACCACCACCAAACCAGCATTACAAGGGATGTTAGAGGGAATTCTTTAAGACAAAAAAAAAAAAAGTCAAAAATATGAATAATAAAATGGCAATAAGTAAAGGAGAAGGAGAAGCCGAATTCTATGGTCACAGAAATATCAGATGAGGAGAAGGCTTCTTCTAGCCCTGAGGGTCAATATTTTCACATATGTTGCCCCTTTCTTTCCAGATCAGCAAAGACCCGATTTTTGTACCAGGCGTCTGGGGCCCATATTTCTCAGCCATGGTTCCTGAATTCTGGCTGAATGAAGGTGGACAGAGTGTTACTGGAAAATTGGTAAGTTGACACTTTTTCATTATAGTCTTTAATGGGTTTACACCCTTGACTAGCTCATTTTGTCGCAATACCCGTATTCCAAGTATCTGGCAGATCTGCAGGATCCTATAAATCAGAAGAATTAACTTTCTCTTAGCGTATGGCCTAACATATGGTGCATATGCAGCACATGTTTGCCAGAGGAATGAATGTTGGTTCAGGCGATGATGATTAACCCATCCTCTCATCTGTCTTTCACACAACAGTCCATTTTTTCTCATGGCAATGAGAGTGATATTGTACTTTGCGAAAAGGACCCTGTCACTCTCCAGCCCAAATTCTTCAGTGGTTCCCCATAGCCCTTGGGACACAGTTCAAATAGTTTCGTGTATGCATCATTCCCTTTGTGGTGTCCCCCCTCCAGTCCCGTACGTGTACTTGTCACTAGGGCTAGGTTCCCCTACTCACAGCTCCGCCATGGCTCATGTCATTTCACTCCTCTGTGCTTTTGTACATGCTTCTTTTCCTGCCTGGAGAGTTCTTTATCACCTTGATCATTTTACTCATCCTTTAAGACACAACTCCACTTCTTATCACATTCTGTTATTCTTACTGGTTTACCCGTCTGTCTTTTCCGGAAGTCTAGGCGCTCCTTAAAGGTAAGGGTCATGTCATACTTCTCCTCGTATCCAGCTCAGTGCCTGGGTCTTAGAAGGGGCTTGATAAAGACATGTTGAATGCATGCAGTGGTCTCATAGGGAAGACGGGAGATCCATAAAAGAGAGATACAAGATGCCAGAGGTACAAGGCACAGCGTTGGCACAGAGCTGGGTTAAGAAACTCTTTGCCAGGGAGAAGGCATTTGTGCTGAGCCTTAAAAGATAACTAGAAACGAACCAGGCAAAGAGGGGTAGGAACACTCTTCAAGGCAGGAGAACTGGCACAGGAACAAAGTTATGGGAGTGAAAATAACAAGGCATATTTGAGGGTAATTGCAAATAGTCCAGAATTTCAGCTGTGGTGTAAACTTTTCTTAGAAGAATGACTTCCAATAAAAAATTAGAGAGCTGGGCAGGGACCACATCGTAACAATTCCCTGTAAAGCATGCTGAGGAATTGAACCTTATCTAGCAGACCAAGACCAACGGCAACCAGTGAAAGGCTGGAAGAATGGACAGACATGTCCAGATCTGTCGTAAAAACTTGGGCTAGCAGCAGTGAGGAGGAAGGGGTGCGGGCTCATGGCTGGAGGCAGGGAGACCAGTTTTAGTAGGTTACTCCACAGACTAAAAGCCATGAGGACAGTGGCAATGATGACTGAGAATTGAGGTTAGGAGATCGGCAGGCCTCACAGGGATTAGATATGGAAGGCAAGAGAATATGAGACCTAGCTTCAATTACCCAACCTCACATTTACTATGTTATATTAAAATCATCTGTTGATGGTCTGGTTCCCCCACCAACTCTTCTCAATGTTCAGCCAAATTAAAAGTGAGCTGATCCAACGCTGGATGGGGATGCCAATAACCATTAGTTTCCATTTCTTAGTGTATTAACTGTTTTATACTTTGCTGCCTCAAACCCCCTTTCAACGTCCGAGGAAGCATAGGTGAATGCTAGCTTCAAAGAGCATGTTCTCTGCCTCTGGTCCTGCGGCAGGTACAAGATGAATTACATGAATTAGACCCCCATTCAACCCTGATTTTAAGGAGCTCATTGTTTAATAGGGAAAGTCAGTGAGTATAAAATAAATACCATCCGATTGGTCTTACTAACCAGTGGTAGAAAAGTTGAGAAGTAAGACATCACTGTATGCCCAAGGTGCAGTGGGAATGGAGCTTAACCTTCTCCTATTTAAACTATTTAAACTAGTGTCATGTATTTATACAACTTTCAACTTAAATATGCATTCACTTCCTGAGACACATTGAACACCCATTCCTGAAATAAAGCCGTTTTCCACCCCACATCATGGCGTAATCATCCTTAGCAGACCCAGAACTCATAGATGACACACCCCAATGGCGTTTTTAACAAGGATAGTGACCCAGCAAACCGAGTCTTTGTGCCCAGTGCATTGTCCATGAAGCTGTCCATCAACAGATTTTCGGAGACTTAGTATGCAAATTGAACATCTGTGTCAGCCTGGAAATGCTTTTCCCAGCATTTGGCTCAAAGTTTGCCCTGTTGCTATGGATATAAGCCATCTTTGCCCAAACTTTATGATGTATCTCTGTAGAGAAGAATTGGGCACTCCTCTTTCCTGAGCCTGAAGTTAAATTTAAAAATGTAGCCTTTTTTTTTATTTTCTGCCATTAAAAATCCTTCATATAGCCCATGATGGTTTTCCACAGGAGTCATGGGAATTGTTGGCTTTTACATAGTGAGTTGTTTGTGCACCGTCAGCCAATCAAGCTGCATTCGGAGTTCCAGTTGGGGCAATTCTACATACGTAGTTTCCTTGGACATATGGATAAGGCATGATCGACTCATGGCTTACAGAGAGTGAAATCTTAAGAAATCCACAAGCTAACATAATGGGGCAAAACCTGAATCAAGAATAAAACAGACTGCACACTAAAGCATCAGTCCAGAGATACCAAGCAAAGAGTCAGAAACCACCTATAAAATAAAGAGGTAAAATAAGAATAACAATAATGATGGTAATAATAATAATAACAACAATAATTGCACCTCATTGAGTGTGTTTATCTGTGGGAAGGATTTGTATACATAATCTTGTTAGTCCTTGAATGATATTCATAATAATCACAGTGCCTAATATTTATTTTGAAGGCTTATTGCCCAATCTACAAGACTATTCCAAGAGCTTTTCGTGTACTATCTCACTTACTTCTCTCAAAACATCCATGAGGTAGTAACAGTTATTGTCCATATTTTACAGATGAGGAATTGAAACTCAGTATTAAGCACAGCCTGGAGAGATTACCGATGCACGAACACTGGCCTTTTTTTACATGGTTCCCTTGAAGTTCACCTTTTCTTTCCTCATTTATTCTTTTGTGAATTCTCATCTCTGGTTTTACAACACATTGCTGTCATACTGGACACTATAAGGGGAAGTTACATCATTTATGTTTTGTTTCATGTACACATCATCTCTCACATGTCCTGCCTGAAAGTGTCTGTTCCATTATTACATTGTCCATCGTATATTGTAAACATCCACCTAAAGCAGAAGAGGGGAGAAATAAGAGGAAAGGAGAAATAAAGGAGGGGATAGAAGGGGTGGGGGAAGAAAAACAAAAAATTATCTAAATTCTAGATTTGAAAAATAGATATTTTGTGTCATTTTTACAATTAAATACAGATCTTCCATCACAAAGCAAGTTCTTCATTCCAAGTGTATGAATAGATTGGTACTTAAAAAAAAGAAAATGTCCATCTGGTTAACTTCAGGATGAAGAAAAAATAGGATAGGATCTTTTCTGGCTCTGGAATTCTTGCTGTTTCATCTGACTGAGATTTGGACTCATTTTTCACTCATTTCAAGCTTGTGCCTCTGATATTTATTTCCTCATAGGGAAACACATGCCCGCATCCCATGGCTGAGTGATTTCAATTGCATCAATCAAGCACCCATCAAGGATTGTCTCGTGCTTGTCAATACTCTCCCCAGAACAGTTGTGCGAAAAACATTGCTTTTGCCCAGACTTTTTCCACAGAACACCAACCTGTGCAGTCACTGCATCCAGATGTTGAAGCTTATTTTCAGCTGGACCTTGGCCATCCCTCTCTCCAAGCACCCTTCTCTGTCTTGCTTGAAGTCACCTTTTGGAGGGAAGGGGTTGGGGAAAGGAGGCGAAGACCAGTTTCTAAGCTGCCCCAATGGTGGCATTCGCTTTCTGAGATGATAGGATTGGGTGGGGGTTACCTTCGGTTTGAACCCAGCATTTAAATTTATGAACTTGAGCTATAGGGTTACAATGTAGCAAGATGCTTTGTGCTCTTGGAATTTTAGGATTTGTGCATTGTGAGTGCCTGTATGCCTCCTCCCTTATACCATTGCCTATCAGCCTGGGGCCCATCAGTCTTCCATAAGTGGATCGTTGAAGGAGCACGCAGGGTACACAGTGTTGTACAGGTTACGGAGATAGTGATTTTACCCCTTCATTCATTCACTCGTGTTTACTCTGGGCCAGGCAAGAATAGTATCACATGATTCCTATCCTCCAGTAGCTTATTATCTTATGGGAAAGCTGGATATAGAACTGATAATTATAATTTATTGTAGCACATAATAGTGGATTGCACTACCCCTGCAGCCTACTGGGAGTATCTGTTAAGTGCCAAGTGCTTTTAGGCCCTATTAAGATTCAGTATTTCATCTGATCTTCACTGCATGTCTATGTGGTCATTCTTATTATGCCAGTTTTACTAGTGAATAAATAGACCAGAATAAACAGAACAGTAATGTAACTTGATTAAGGTCTTACAGTTATAAGTGGGAGAGCCTTGCTTCAAACTCGAGTCAGCTCCCGGAAACTCCAGATCTTTCTAGAACTGGATCTGACTTTTGTGGATCTGCATGTCTGAGTTTTTCTTAGAGTTCTCTTGTAGAGTCCCTTGAGAATCAATTATTGTTAGTTATAGTGACTTCCTTTACAAGTATTTTGAAGCAAACACAGTTGGCAGGCTTTGTAAGGCCACAAGAGAAACCTACGTGTGTTAGTATTGGCAGGATCTACATATAGACAGCATTTTACATTAGCTAACTGGAAAGACTTCATGGATACAAAGACCAGCTCTGCATAAACAAATGCCTCCCTCTTCTCTCCTCCTGCCTACGCTTCCACTGTATGCTTTGCGTCCCACCTGGATTCCTGCACAAATAATTACCTTCTTGCTTCTGCACTTTCCCCATCTGCCTCCTATGTCTTAGTCAATTGGGGCTGCTATAATCAAGTACTATAGACTGACTAGGTGGCTTAAATACAACAGAAATGTATTTCTCACAGTTTTGGAGGATAGAAGTCTGTATCAGAGTGTCAGCATGGTCA